TACAGCTTTTTCCACAGCGGTTATATCACAGTTATATCACGGTTGTATCAGCCACTGTATAACCGCTGTGGAAAAAGCTGTAGGTAAAAACGAGTATTTCTAGAGGAAACGGGAACGACCACGACGTGGCGCAAGACACGGAAAAGAGCCGAAGCCGGTGCCGATGCACGAAACGGTTCAACAAACGAGAGGACAAAAAAATGTCTGCCGGGCGAACGCCAAAAAAAGGCGAGCCTAAACGGAGGATTTGTTCAAAGTGTCCGGCGAACAAAGCGGCGTCTAGCTGGACACAAAAGAGCCGTGAACTCACGACAAAAGCTCACCTTGGCGTATTACACAGGCGTAATAAAGGCGAGAGGGGATTGAGCCAAGACTGCAGCGACGTTTACAAGCCACTGTGGAATTAATAGCCAATGATCTGCAGTAGCTGACAGAGGTTACTTCTGCCCTGCGGTCAGAATTCTAGCCCTGGATCAAAAGAAGTGTTTATGTAAAACGATGATACCTACCTATAAATTATAAAATATATGGCTATATTTCCGTAATACCTACATTTAGTATTTATACTAATAGATGTTATTATTGTTATGTAATTTATTTGGTTTTATTTGATATTATTGAATTTTTAAGCTTTTGATCAATGACCAAAAAAATGTAACAACAAGTTACATCGAAAAAATCAAAAACCCTGAGATTTTACAAGAAAAACGATGTGTAATAAAGCTCTCCGTGGATTTGAATTTCTCCAATTTGCTTAGTAATTTTATATTTTTCTTTAGAATGTTCTATATTAGAGACTAGAGTATAGTTTTGCCATTTAGAATTCTTGTCAATCTTGCTGTGAGTGGTGCTCATTCAGATTGTATTGTTATCAGTAGGGCTAGGATTTTAATGACCCAAAAAACCTAAAAAAAATGACATTAAAATAACCTAAAAATGACCTAAAAAAATGACCTTAAAATAACCTAAAAATGACCTTAAAAAATGCCCAAAAGATAAAAAATGATTTTAAAATGTTATAAAAATGCATTATAATTATTAATTAATATTTCGGTAAAAAATTATTTAAATTATAATATTATAAAAAAATAGCAAAAAAAATGTTAATTTAGGATTTTCTTGATATGAATAATAAAGTTTGAAGTTTGGACTTGATAATGATAATGATAATGCAACGGCCAGCATAAAATTTTCTGAAAAAAACAACAAAAATACTATAAAATAAAAAATATATACGTATATTTTTTTTATTCTGAAAATTACGTTTAAAATGCCCGTAAAATTGAAAAAATGACCTAAAAATGCTAAAAAATGACCCTAAATCCTTAAAAGTACAAAAAATGCAAAAAAAATCAAAATCAAAACTATAAATTTGGACTCGTATATGACCAAATCACATTTTGTGCTTGAAAAGCTATGTCCTGTAAATCCTAAAAAAAAAATGCAAAATCCTATACTATCCTAGCCCTAGTTATCAGTATTATGTTTATTCTATAATAATATTAGCTAACTAGCTAACAAAATATATATTATGCTGTATAGTGTATATTATACATATATGTTATTGCACAGAGCCCACTATAGGGCATGATATATTATCAATAGAAATAAAGTATTTGTAACGTGTTCAATACGAGTGCCTATACTAATTATATATAATATGTTATATAATATTATGACAATTTATTGGATATTAAATATTAATTTTAATGTAAGACACTAATCAGTAAGTATTTCATAAGCTTTGAACGTTTTTTTACACCATTTTAAGTCACTAAAAACAACAATTTCTTAAAAATTAAAATATTTATAAGTGTTAGGAACCAGGTACTAGGTAATAAATTACTTGTCCAAAATTGGATTTTTATAGATCAAATACTCATAATAATTTAAATAATATTAATAATAGATATTTCTTTTGTTTTCACGGTGCTTTTGAAAACTACTGGGAAATTTTTACTTTTGACCCCCCAAAGTACCAACCAGATTGATTCAATTTCCTATCAGCTGAAAAGATACTGTTGAAGAAAATACTTTTTATTATCGTAATATAGTTAAACGAGGTTACCCCATCCCAGTGGCGTCCGCAGGGGGGGGGGGGCTAACGGGCTGAAGCCCCCCCCCCATTGCCCGTATTATTATTACTTTTTGAAAAAAATATTAATCAAATTTAAACTGTCAACTATAGTAAGCAAGACGTAAATTTCATATATGACTTACCAGAATGAATTCATTTTTGAAAAAACATTATATTTGCATACCAATTTTCATAAATTATCTGTTCCTAATTTTTCGGTAAAAGAACGAACTACTTGTACGAAAGACCTTGTATTAAATTGTCTAGCCTTAGCTGTACATATTTTATATTTTATAAGTTTTGAACTACAAATTAACTGTGGTTAAATTGTTTTGAACTTTAAATGCATATGTATCGTTAATATTTTAGCTATAATAAAAAACTTACGTATTACATTTTTAAGCTTTTCGACCGGATAAATAATTTTTTATTGACATTTAAAAAAAAAAAATTTTAATCAATCAAATACAATCCAAGTGAGGACGGTATAACCAACTCCAAGCTACTGTTACCAAACAATTTAAATAAGTTTTCATTTTTTTTTCTCCAATTAGGTACTTTTAAAAGCACTGAGCAGATTCAATTTCGACCTAATAAAAGTACCAACTAGATCCAATTTGCTTCCAAAAACATACACTGGGCATCGAAGCTTATGATAAGAGCATATTTTCTACCAGAAAAGTTGAAAAGTCACAAACATTTTAACCCTTAACTTGTCAAGCATTAAAATATTAGAATGACAATTTTAAAGTAGATATTTTCAAACTAATTTAAGGTCGCTGAATTCAAAAATGTTGTCAAAAAAAATATTGGACTTGAAAGTTCAAAGTTATGAATTGTATCTTAAAAGATACATAGCCATAAACCAATACTAATATTCATGTATCTAAAAGGATACATACTTTTAAAATTGATATAAAATAAGCATTATTGCATATATTATTAGAAACTTTACATAAAAGTGATTAACTGAGTTGATTCTAGTAACACATTAAAATTTGATGAAATTAGCAGTTGAAGTCAACGAGTTTGATCGGCTTTAAATTTCCAAAAAATGATAACAAAAAACAGTTATTACTTATTATCAATCCCAATCATCATAGAAACGTTATCGTAGTGTACTCACGTGGGAGATATGACATTTATCAAAGTGTACAAATAATAAAAATAAAAATATTGTACATCGGATTCCGTACAAAAATTCACAAACTTTGTGTATCCAAAAAGATACAACACCAAGTTAAGGGTTAAAATACCTCAAATAAACGTATGAAATTATTAGACTGGACAAAATAAAAATAAATTTGTAACTAATTTTCAAGCAACCCCCATTGAAAAATCCTGCGGACGCCACTGCGGCCCATCCAAATTAATTTAATAACTTAGACGTGAATATGAATATATATACGTAATATGTGTGTGTGTTAATGTGTTATGTACTTTTGTATGACTTCCCTGCCAGAAATTCTGCGAAATCCTTATAAAATACATCCAAACGTTCGTAATTATCCATCTAATGGAATTTCGGTACTTTGGGGAGTCAAAAGTATAATTTTTTTAGTAGTTTTCAAAAGTGCCATGAAAAACAAAAGAAAAATTAAAATAGAACGGGAATTTTTACACACAATCTTTTTCGAAAAAAATAATTTTGGTTTTGGTGCAACCCTTAAATAAATGACCGTAGATACATAACATTTTGACTGAATGTTTATATTAGCATTTTCTGTACACGATAAAATTTTGAGTTAAGAATTCGTAAAAATTTTTCTTTTTAAATCTAAGATTTGAAAATGTAATACAAGATTCCTTATAAGATTATCTACCTTTATCAAAAAAAAAAATGTCTATAAGTTTGACAAATTAAATTTTTATGAGCGTTCGAAATTCGTAATATTTAAGTATAAACGAACAATTTCAAAATGTTTTAACTTAATGGATTTTTTAAAACAACTGTAAAAAGCTAAGTTATTTTAATTGTAAATTAAACTATTTAAGTTCATAAGTTGATTAGAAAATAAACTAACTAGTTAAGTTAAAAAGTTAAAAAAAAATTAACTTTTTAACTGAACTTTAACTTTTCAACTAGTTAATGCCCACCTTTGATTATTACTATATTACTATATTATTATTATATTGTTTGTGTTAATCCTTAAGGAGTAAATTATAGCGACAATCTCTTGCGGAAATAAATAACAATATTATTGTAATCATAGTAAAATAAATAAGTACCTATGTATTTATTTTACTATGGTCTTATGGACTGATTTTGACATTTTGTAATTCATTTTTTTTTTTAATTAATAAACGTAACGTGATAAAAATTATTTCGGGTAACGCACAGATATATAAAAATACATTTCATATATCTGTTGGGTAACGTAAATCTAATATCATAGAATAAATGATAATATCTATGTTTTGATTTACTGTCTGGTAAGAAAAAAGCATTTTTGTATATTATTTTATTTAAATGTCTACTTTACAACTTTAACCAACGCCATCTAACGATGTAAATTCATGATGTATGAAACATATGTAGAGTGATAAGCTCGGGGACACAATTGATAACATCGGGATTCGCAAATCGCAATATTTCCATTAACAATATTTGCATTTCACTATAATAGTAATAAATAATAATAGTTATAACTACACTACGTAATATTATTATTCGTCATACTCGTATTGTAGTATTTTTTTCATCAAAACAATACGGATTGTTGAGTTGTTGACTGTTTCACTAAAGTACTGTAGCCTGCACTTGTATCAATTATTGACTATATTTTAACATTAATTGTTTACTCCTTTTTAAAATTTTCTTTTTTAATCAACATCAACATATTATTATACATTATTTACGCCTTATTATTCATTTGTTTTCTTTTAATTCCCCACAACCATTGTTCTGAATGCTCCTTTAGTTATGATAGGGAAATCAAAATGGTACTTAGTGTTTATGATACTATATTGGAGTTGCATGGACGGTTAGTATTATAACACAATTTTTGTAGACAATTCATATATTATAGGTCTATTGACTTTTGTTAATTGTTATTTTTCTACTACTATTACCTATTCTAGCTTATGGTTATCAACTAATACTAAACAATAACAGTCCAATAACTACCGGCTCAACCGTCATTTTGAATGCTACAGTTCTCGATGACAATGGTTTATGTGCTAAAGGAAGTCTGTCGTTTAAATATGAAGATGATGCATTCCCAAGTCATAAATTGGAAGTATGTTGTGAAATATTTTAATTATTAGTTTTATTTTTCTTTACTTCAGGTAGATGATTATTATCTTTTAACTCTAATATTTATCTCAATAATTAGAAAACAATTGATTATTTATTCAAAATAAAAGGTTACCTATACCTACCTTATAAAACAAACTACCATAAAAAATCTAGTTGTCATTTTACTGCTTGAAAATGTCCAACTTATCTAGAGTTATTTAAAATCTTAAAACTAAATTTATGAATAGGCAATACCTAAATACAAATATTTTTAACAATACTAATATAAAATACTGTATTTGAGTAACCTTTGTTGTCTTAAAAAAAAATGTTATAAATTAAAACAAGTTTGAAATAATTGTTCTAAAATTTGTAAAGTGTGCTATACTGCTATGTAATAGTTGATATAAATTAAAAACATGAAAATAATTCTTATTATATTTTCGTTTTATTTAGGTAGCGAGTGCATAAGATAAATATATTTTTTCATGTAATTGTCTGTATAATTGTATTTTTACATTTCAAATTTACATGTTTTAATTAGCATGATATCTTAATCCTAGGTGGCATTCTAAATGTAATTTCAAGGCTGTGTGCCAGATTTTGGTTGCAAATAAAATATAAGAATAATGCATGTAACAATTTATAGAACAAAATTAATTTTCTTAGAAAACATGAAAATTTATCTGCTATTATAGTATATATAAAAAATATATTTATTAATAAATGCTACAGGAAAATATACAACTTTTGTCTCACATATTTCAATACATACTTATGTATAATATTTTAGAGTTAAAATTAAAAATTATAAATTAATGATAGAGTTAACATATAACAAACTAATTATTGGTGGCTATATTATTTTTATTTATTTTTACGTTATGAAAAAATATTGAATTTTTGCTTTTTTAAATTTTAGATTAAAATTAAAAATTGTGAAGCAATATTCCACATATCATTTGACACAACTATTGGACCTTCAAATTATAGATACAAAGTAGATGTTTCTGAGGAATTAATTCCTTTTATCTATCACCCAATTACCAGTGGTCGCGGCGAGTTCATTGTTACAGGTAACATATAAAAGTTTTATATTTTTTATTATATAATTTTTGTAAATGATAACAAATATAATTACAATTAGGTAGAACAAATATATAATAATATGTAAGATGAGTAAAAGAAAACATCATATTTTTGTAGATTGTATTATTTAAAAAAAATATTAATATGAATATTATACGATTTATATTACAGAAAATTTGAACGGTGTGCTTCAACTTTTTCAAAATAATACAAACATTTCCAAAAAATTCTCCCACAGACTATTTATGTGTCTACTAGTTAGAAACTGTTCACTCAAATTGAGATTAATGCTGCCGATTTAGATTATCTTAATAAAAGTGCCAAGTCACCTCTGTTTACTGGTTTGTTGATTGTATCTACCAAGAAAATACTACAAGTTATACATTTTCTAGTAACTATACTGAACCAGGCATTCAGCATGAAATTCTTGGTATTGTAGTGGCCAATATTCCTTCATCTATGCCTACAACTACACCACAACTACGAAACTACTGTCTACACCAGTATCCACTACTCAGTCAGTTCAATTAAGTCTACTTCATCTAATACTACTATTGCTGCTTCCATATCTACATCTACTACCACTGAAGCACCTTCTAAAACTGATGTTACATTTTCTCATCATATAATCAATTCAACTTTTACTACAGAATGTCAACAAAAAAAACATGTAGAATTGTTATTATCTGCAGTTAAATTAGAAAACCACCAAAAATATGGATATTTTAGTCGTTCTCTGCTTACCAAGGGTAAATATTAATGAAGATTTCAATTTTTAATAATTCTTAGTTTTTAATTAATTTGTGAGTTGACATAAAATAATAAAACTTTACATATATTTAGATCCAATATCAAATGTTAAGACTCAAGGAAAAGTGTGGATACAAGAAGGCGAAATGTTAAATATGCTGGTAAACAAAAAATCATATTATAAATGATAACACTTATTAAATTAAACATTCATTAATTACTAGGTAAATTGTAATGGTAGTGGCCCCTTCCGTTATTGTGCAAGTTATTCCAAAGGACCTTATAATGTAACTGGTAATGAATCTTGTACATGGGACATTAATTTAGTACAATGTCAAATACAGATTGCATACTATTTCCGTGAGCCTACAAATTATACTGTAATTGTGGTTGTGGCCAATGATGTTTCAAAAGTTGTAATACCTATTGGAATTAATATTTATAAAGGTAATCATTATTTTATATAATTAATACAATATTTTTTTTTAATTATAATTATTGGATTGTAATTTTTTTTTTTATATTCCAGTAACAAAAGAAACCACAAATATCTGTTATAGTTGTACCAGTAACTTTCAGTTCAATTGCAGTAATAATTGTTGTGTTCGGAATAGCTTACTACTTTCAAAATAGATCGAGGTACTATTAATAGTTGAACTACTATTTATCTCTCATACAACCAAATACTTATACACCTTTAGTAATATTTTGTTGGACTGCTTCTCAAAGTAATGATTTGAGATATTTAATGTCATAAAACATGGTTGCTAAATCGATGATGCTTAGGTTTTTAGTGCTATACATAGCAACTTGTAAATCATTAAATTAGCATAATATACCATCATAACTTTTTATAGAGTATATGGTAGAAGTAGCAAGATGTTGGATTTTGCCAATAACTCCGACATGGAAGATAAAACATTTAGAGAGCGTTGCGTGATGCTATAAGCCAGCTATTAACCGTACACAAGACTATTCAGAGTAGGATGGCATTGAAGAACAAAGTGGTAATTTGGCTAACCCCAAAATCAAAAATATGGTAGTATGCAATGACCAAGCACTGTAGTTGGTCCAAACAGATGTAATGTCTAAATGACTAATACATTGGACTGACATGAATTTTAATTCTTAGTGTAAACTTTTTTGTTGCTGTTCCTTTCAAAAAAAAAAAAAAAAATATTGACAAATAACGTTTTGGCATTCCAATATTTTTTAATTTAAACTTATAATTTACGGTTTTCCGCACACAATAATATATTATGATTTTATGAAGACTTGTATATTAACAATAATCATCACATTTTAACAACACACTTGAATAATTATTGAAGTCTTAGCAATTATCTTCTTGTAGATTTGCAATAATAAATAAGACTTAAGTTATACATAGGAGTATAATACCTACCTACAATAATTTTTATTTATTTAGCATTTAATTTTTTATTATTGTACATTTTTAGTAATAAGCTTCCCAATTTGATCATTTTCTGTATACATCTTTAAATTCTTTATTGTTACTCCGTGTATTCCATTAATTTATTTGGTTGTAAATAATTTTTAAGTAAGTATTGTAAGTTTTCACTTTTACCTTATACTTCTGAACCTTCAACATAAAGTATACACTAGAACTTTGATTGTACATATATATTGTACATCACTGTGTATTCCCATTTGCATGTGTTAATGGGCAAATGGGAAGCTCACCTGTATTTAACAAAATATTATTATTAATTAAAATCAATAAGTTTTAAATCTTTGATGATATGCCAATTAATATACTATTATTTTATTTATTTGTATTCATATTGTGAAATAGCTAGAATGAATGATACATTTATAAATATAAGTACCTATTGTAATTTTTAAATATATTAGGTAATTTAGAATGTATCCTGAGACATTTAAACTAATGACAATATCTTATTTCCATGTGTTATTCAATTTAAACATTTTTAAGCGTACAAAATATATTTACCTCAAAACATAATATCAATAAATTAAACTAATTTTTTTCTTATTCTTCGGTATCATTTAAAAAATGTATTCAATTATATTATTTACTTTGAAAAATTTTTTATATAATTTAACCAGGATAGATATTATATTTTATTTATTTACATATCCTATAATAACTATGTGCCAATATTTTTATAGTAAGGACAATATGCCACAAAGGCAATGACAATATAGTTATAATGTATTATCCTAATTAGAAATGTCTCATTTTTTGGATATTAGAACTAAATTAATTAATTTAATATGTATTATTATTGTTCTGCATAGATGATGGTTGAGTGCCATGCTATTTTAAATTTAACAGTATGTTTAGAGTCTAAAATGCTCAATGGTTAAATTCTTAGCTCATTAGTAAATCTCTTAAATTAATTGTTTTTTTTCTGCATTACATCTTGTAATTATTTATTTTGTCAATTTCACGTTTCGACATTTTCTAGTGTGATTAATTTATAAGATTTTATTTCTATTCATTAGAAATATTGAAAAGTCTAATTATTGTTGTAAATAGTTATATTTTGTAAAATTATTGGATGCTGAAATTATTCAAATTTAATATTGTTACTCACATAATCCATTATTGATCAAATTATTATATTATATAGTTCATTTTTTTATTCAAATAATTGTTTTTTATTTTATCTGTTTGTGAATTATTTAAATTGTATAGAAATCATGTTAAATATTGTTAGATAAGTGTTCTTTGATTATCAATACAACTTATGTCCACATTATATAATGTAAAAAACTAATATGTTGGTATGTTACCATATTATTATATCTTCATAATAAATATTAAATAACAATATTCAATTAGATGTTAAAATAAAATATTAAAGCCCCACACACCTATTATATGATAAAATTAACATTTTTCCTTTTATCGTATAACCAAAACATATATTAACATTAGAATGGTTGCACAGCACTTGTAGCAAGAAATTACTATTTTCTTAGTACCTACACGTGGTAAATATTTTTACTGAAAATAAAACTTGTGAGTTTGACAATATTTCCTTTCTTATACTGTTGATGTCGTTGGTTTTTTCCTTAATTTTATTTTCCATTACATTATCCACAAATAAAAATGATCTTATTAGAGAATATGTTCAGGTTTCCAAGTGCTATTATAATTTTGAGACAAAGAAGTATTTACCGTTTAAGTTGTATGATAATGGCAATGATAGATTTTTAGAAGACGATTCAGATGCTGAAAAAACGGATGAATCAAGTTCTTGTGATTTCTTAGAACTAGAAACAAAAAATGGGGAACTTCCTATTAATGGAAACAGTATGGCTGCAATTTTACAATTCTTAAAAATAAGTGGACTAACATATATATTTTTATATATTATTTTTATTTTATATATATTTACATATGTATAACTATATAAGTGAACACAGCGAAACATTTTTTTTAAATAGGTGGGTATTGAATACCTACTTTTGTTTTTCCCCCCCCCCCTCCCATAATTTGAATTAGTTTGCGCTTCTGCATTGATCCGTCTATTGCCATTTGCCATTATCTCCGAAAATTGATTCGGAAAATACTTGACCATATAAATATCCATGTACCTATACTATACTCTGTTCCAAAAGAGAACGGTCACTTTTCGCGCAAACAACTGAGTACCGCGGCAGTGCAAAGGCCAAAATTCCCCTCCCCCTTTCTAGCCGGCAATCGTCAACGTCTTCGAGAAACGTCTGCTAGCAAGGTGTGGGATGTTGGGCCTTTGCACTGCCGTAGGTAGCCGTAAGTTGTATGCTCGAAAAGTGACCGTTCTCTTTTGGAACAGAGTATAGGTAAGTTCTCAAACATAACTACTATCATGTCGTTTGAAGTTAAAACTACCAGCTACATTCAATTATTTTTCCTCGTCTCTTCACTATTGTTCTAACATATCAAAAGTAAAGAGTGTGTTTCATTAATGGCATCTCCATTTATCACCCACAAATAGCATTAGTTAGATACCTACTAATGATTAGTAGAGAATACTTTTTTGTTTTATTATAACAAAACAGGTAGGTACCTATGTACCTATATACTAGTTAAAACACCTGTGTCCCATTAAGGGGAATTAGGTTTGACAGATTTTAATTTTGAAAACGGATTATGATTGATTAACAAGCTTACTATGTTACCATCGAGGAGATTTTTAATGTCCCAATTATTGTTAGTATCATAATGGCATAATGAGTATTAATGTGTTAATATCAATACAAAAATTTATTTTTATATTTAAATATTTTTATGCATGGAAATCACGGCTGAAAAAATAGATATTCAAAAATCTACTCAATGCCCAATGGAGACCTAGTAAACTTGGTAATCAATGAAAATCAGTTTTAAAATTGAAATCCGTCAAACTAAAACTACATTAAATCTACTATCTACATTAGTTTTGAGTAGTTTTGACCTTTAACAATAGGTGGTTATAGTTGTAACATCGTCATGCTTCCTATTAACCTGTTCCAAATTCCAAGTGTCAACCACGAATTGGGATAATATACATATTATATAGGTAATACAGTACCATTCGTTCATCTCTATGTCCCAAACTGGTATTCCTATAATATTATAACCCTTTCAGGTTCGTGGCAGCTAGAGAGCACCACATACATATATATAATTATTTTAATATTATTATCTTCTTCAAAATCGTTTTCCGGCACTAATTAGAGAATTTATTTTCTCTACAATCTACATCGTATTAATTTTCGTTTATACAATACTTATAAACAGTGGCGGCGCCAGAACTTTAATACCTGGTGGGCCAGGCTGGGGCCCAAATTTTTTAGGGAGGGCCAAATTGTTGACTTGATATATATATATATAAACAATAGTGATGACAGGCGATTTCGCAGAGGGGTAAGGGGGAGGGTCAACTTCCAATTTTTTTTACACTTCATCGTGTAAACTTACTAAAACAATGATTTGTAAACATGTATTGTATTAATAGTATTTATTTCCTAACAAAATATATATTCATGTAAACACTTTTTAATTTGTATACTCCCTAACCCATAATTACACTCAATACCAACGAATATTTAATAATAATTTATTATTTTCGTATTCAGCCTCTGGAAAATACACATTATTTATGAGGCTTGAAAGCATATATAGAGCATAATTGTCAACCCATTCAAAATGTTGTTCACGTCATCTATTATGACTTAATATTTTCATATTTTAATAAATCATGATTTATTCATGAGATATTTTTTAGTATTCTAATATGATTAAATTTAATTTTTGGGGTGGGCCACAGGGGGGGCCTGGGACTTTTTAAGGTGGGCCCGGGCCCACCCTGGCCCACCCCTGGCGCCGCCACTGCTTATAAAGTATACAATACTTATATGTGCATTTATGGTGGTACGCAAGGGCGTCCGCAGGAGGCGGGAAAAGTAGGGGCAGTGGCCCCTCCTTTGGATTTTTCTGGCTTGATTATCATATATTATTATTGATGATTTTAATGTTCTAAAAAAACTAAAAATTGCCCATACAAAAATAAAAAAGGGACTAAATTATTTTATTTTTAATATCAAAGATATAAATTCTAATATACATTTTAAACTTTTAAATGATTGTAGAAAAGTTTTACAGACAGAACTTATCA